CACCAGTGAAAATAAGGAAAGTATGTTTCACTGTAGTGAAAAATAATTTTATACAGTGAAAGAAAGGAAATAAAAAAATACATTTTTAAATTTTTTAAGCAATAATTCATTCATAAGTATATGATGAATGCATAATACATATAATGTTGATGCCATTCAAGAAAATCTCTAATACTTAATTATTAATTGTATAAGAAAACTAAAGATGTTCGTTCACCAACCGATATTTTTGCAGGTTGAGCGATGCATGCATTCGTTACGTGCTTTATCTTATTTTGGAACATTTTTTTTAAACATCTAAGGTGTTTAATAGAAACTTGTTTCTGTAATAAAACTTGTCCCTTATTTTTATTATGCATTACTTTCTCTTCGTTGATATACAATTACGTTTTTATCACTGATGTCAGTTGACTGTACACAAAATCATGTTTATAAAATATTGAATATTGTTATTTGGCAATAATTCATGTTGGTTATTCACCACCCTATAACTTTGTTGACACTTGAATTGAATAGATCGTATATGTTTGTATTTTTAAAATGATCTTAAAGTTGTTATCTTTTTTTGGTTTTGATTCAAGTATCGTGTTGAGATTATATTTGTGTGTTTGCTTCTGTGCATAAAATGCATACTATATAAAAATAAAAACCTAATAAAATAGAATTATAACGATTTGTAATAAATAAATGTAAAGTTGCACCATATGGTCAGAGAGAGGATCGAAAAATCTCAACCTAAGGTCGACCGGTACTTATTCATTGTATTGTATAAAAGAAAACATATCTATGTCACTGAAAACATATCTATGTCACTTTGCCACAAAGGGGCCACATAATGGCCTCCATTTTTTACCACGTGACTTAAAGTAGTTCCAAAATGTCGCCTAAGTATGCTAGAAGGCTATCGCGAAGCATAAAAGCCGGGGAGATCTGACTTTATCTTTGACAAGCCAACCATTACAATTAACTCTACGCATAACGAAAACACACTGGGGAATAACATACAGCGTTATTCTGACGCCATCTTGATAGCTTAGTGCCTGCGGGTAGTTGACCTACAACCAATTTCTCGTACATATGCTGAAACTTTATCTTACATAATACTAGAAGTTTCGTCCTTAAAGTAATACCTGGTGTAGCTGTCTATTTGAAACACAATAAAATGTCATATTCTATAAAGCAAATCTAAATATTATGACAAAGTGAAATGAGTATATGGTATTAATCCACTTTTTTATCTCGTACTATACAGGCGATATATGTTTAATAAAACTGTGTCATTCTACGTGCAAAAAGTGTATCATGTTCATATAAGGTACTTACAATCCTTTGTGAAATTCATACGCAAGGAGAGAGAAAATTGATACCTTTTAGAAGGATGTAATTGTTGAATCGGGAAATTGAAAAAGAGGAAATGTATAATAAGGAAATTAGATGTAATAAATTGTGAAATAAGATATACACGGCATTTGCTTTTTCGTCTATTAAGAACCCCACTGTCCCCATTGAAGTGGATTAGTTTACAAGGGATACATTTTTCATAAGTATTTAAAACAATATGAATGTTTCATTTGGATATTCTCAAAAAGAATTGCTTGAAAGAGAAATGTTGATAAAGTTTTAAGCGGTTTAGTACGAACATTTATATGTAATTGAAGTAACTGACCATGAACTCTTATGCTGGTTTCATGCTATTAACGTTGTCTATATACAAATATAGCCATTGACAAGGCAGTAATCGTTAGCGAATTGATGTGAGTACGGCTATTATTTAGATTCGTGACCGAAGTGCCATTTTCGAATTGCTAGAACATGATCACGATTAAGTCTTTGACAGATTATTTTGTAGATACTGAAACTTCACGGTTAAATGTTAAAGGATCCAAGATTCAAACATTACTATGCTAAGAATCGTATGCTTTCTAATGCAGCTAAGACAAATATTATTTTTGATTAGGTTCGCGTCGCACCAACATATGTGGCAAGTCCAGTTTTACTGGTGAAGGAATACCTCAGGTGCTCCCCTGTGCATTATATCAGGCATGAACCGTCACCTGAGTAGAACCACCAACGTTCCAGAAACTGGCGGCGTAGCTTCCACATATAAATAATTCACATTCCCTGGTTGAAGGAACAAATGGTTGGAAGTCAACGACCTTAATTATATTACGACCATGTACCCCCTAAGACATAACAAGGTACAATCTTAATAAGTCGTTCGTAGGTAGCCGGTGAATAGTTTACATTGTATTCTGCTGGTACTAGTGAGCGGAGACACCTGTCAGTACATATAATGCTTAAAGAAGACAGGGAGGAGAACGAACATGCAACGTTTTTGTATAATATGTTTTGTTGGGTGACCAGAATGAAGACAAGATCAAGTAACCACTTTTGAAGAAAAGTGAGTGAGCCCCTTCTCACACTCTCTCAATTTAATGAAGGAAGACATTGAACAAGAATTTAACGTACCACACCTGATGAAACTGTATCCCCTTTTGTTATCTTTTAGACTGTTTTCCCCTTTTATTATTTTTAAGACTTGCAATAAAATGTATTATAAACAAGGGCCACACTATCTATCATACTAAAATAATAAAATAATATGCATTTACCCCCTTTTTTAAGCGACCAGTTTTTCCATTTGCTATGAATATCTTTAAGAATTCATACCTATAAATGGTGGTATTTGCCAAAACGTCTGTAATTCTATAAAAGTAATAACCCGAATATTTTGTTTATCCTTCTATAATTTACATGCGTTAAAAAGAGCCACGTTTTTGCTAAAAATTTCTTTAAATATATTTATAAGAAAAAAAAAACAAACATAGATCTTGATTAGTTTTTAAAACATTTGTAGTACATTTTGTCATTTATATATTTACTGTTGACCGTTCAAATGCGGTGCCTTTGCGTATTTCTTTCTTTTTGTCTTGTCAACGGTTAAATGATTTTGTGTAGAGACATTTTCACAGTTCATCCCCATTTTTCATTTTGTCCTCTCCGCTATAACTACACTTTTTAATTTTTTTCTTGTTCTTGTATTAGATAATCTATGCGCTCTCTTCTTCCTGAAGTGTCCTTTCCATCCCCGTGGCTTGCCCCACTCATATTTGGTACGCCCATGGGTGGACTAAGCGACAACACATTGTGCAGCCGGATTGCATAATGCATTCCTTTATTGATCTTAAATATTCACTCACATATCTTACACTCATGTCCATATCATATTTCTGTCATGTATTGCAATTCTGATATAATGATAACAAAATGAAGTCTTCACTTTAGTTATCTGCACAATTACAATATCTTTTGTATAAAAAACTGTAAAGTTTACAATCTTGTATTTCACAAGTGAAATGTAAATTAATAACGATTCATGTAACACAATTACACTCTACAAATTACGTTGATAACCTCCGGTGTACTAAAGATCTTTGTGGACGCTAATAATTATGTTTACAAGATAACTTGATCTTTTTGGTGTTGGTTCAATGATTTTATCGTGCTTAATTGACTTGATGGGTGTTCTTTCCGGTTGATGTGTTTTTATATGTAATCAAAAGAACTAAAATGTTCAATAATGTTTTTTTTTTTTGCAAGGTAAGTACTCTTATTGATACAAAATATTTTTTTCTTACTGATCGAATGAAAATAATAGTATGTCAAATGTAATTGACCCTAATTTTTAATATCTTTATTTTAAATTCAAATTTATCATTCTAATGCATACACTACGGAAACGGCAAAGGGTATCCAATAAGTTAGATCATGATGTGTAAATCAACTGACTTCAATTCATTTGATTTAATGAGACGGTTTTATTTTATTAACACTTGTTTTTTTAATATTAGGCTTTACTTTGTGATCATGTGTTTTTTTATCTTAGGCTTATCATATAATAAACAACTATTGAATTATGATTCATTGAATATGATGTGATATTCACCGGCTATCGCCTCGGTCAATATGACATTTGCCGGTGAATATCACATCATATTCAATGGGTCAGAATTCTTATTAATTATTATTATTATATGTGTTATTATTATTATTATTATTATTCTTATTATTATTACTATTATTATTATTAGTGTTATTATTATTATTATTATTATTATTATTATTACTACTACTACTATTATTTTTTTTATTATTATTATTATTTTTATTATTATTATTATTATTATTATTATTATATTCATAGGTCCTCCTTTACTTTTGTTTCGTTTTGCTTTCATACCATAAACAACGATGTTTTTTAGAAATGATATAGGAGGTATCACCTCTACTCACTACGTTTATGGCGATGATTCCTAATTTGTACTGTTCTTTAAAAAAACATTTTTAAATTAAAAAAAAAGTTCATTTTTATTACTAAAATATAGGTTATATTCTTACGCATCTTGACGTCCCCACCAATAATACGAGTTTTTAATTAACAATATGCATTTTCGCTAATTAAAGTGACATTATGCTCATATCTTCATTGTCAAGTTGAGCTGAATTGACTTTATATTTCAAAAAATTGACTGTTTAAATGATGTTTGACCAACATATTATATTGGAAAATGTTTAGGATAAAATTTAAAATCTGCCTAAAATATAAAAAGACTGCCCCACTCTTTTTATAAATTGAACGTTATAGGTAAATTCTAAATGATATTTACTTAAATTTCGTTTGAATGCGGTGGTTATTTATTGTTTATGCGAAGTAAATCACTAAAGCAAAAGGAATTATGGCAAAATGAAAATTTATTTTGACTCTCACCTCTTTGCTCACTCTATACCTTAAGATGGGCATAATGTCACTTTAAACAAACATCTATATTATGCAAAAAAGAGTATTTTACAGCATAAACTTAATTCAGTCAATATGCCTTTATTTTTCAAAACTTCTACAATTTTTAACTTTTATGTTTTCAATGTAATTGCTCTTTATTCGCTGAAATGGATGAATGAGCAAATCTTGATACGAATCAATTGGAAGTACACTGTCCATCCAAGCAAATAAGAATAAATACCTCGGTTGATGGATTCGTTTCAATTAAATTATTTCTTTAATTGTTTAATTTCAGTCTATAAATATATAATGTTTCCTACGGTATATCAGGGTATATAGCGTGTCGCGTTCGCAGTCGACTGCCTTCGTTGAAAAGTTTACCCCAAATGTCAAATACCTAAATAATCTTAACATCAATAGATATTATGTGCAGATGTGGAATAGATATTTTTTAAAAGGTAAGCATTTTGAATTAGGTCACAACTAACAAGCTTAAATTATATAAATTAATGCCAAAGTTAAAGAACTTTGTATAACGTTTATATGGTTACAAAAATTGCATGAACATTATACACACATTTGCGTATTGCAATGTGTTAGTCTTTTGAAGTGCGCAGTGCATGGGCCGTGTGTTAAAAGAAATTTGTGTTGCTTAAACGAAGAATTATTTTAGTTAAGTTATGCCAAACAATGCATAAATTGATAGAAAAAATGTTGTTATCTATAGGTAATACCAGACTTCTGTGTCAAACAGTTGAAAATGTAAAAAAAATATTGTTTTTTTTATCCCATAATGTATCAAAAAGCGTTTCGATGTTAACACATTGTTTTGATTGACATATCCATAATTTTGTATAAAAATGTTTAGCTTTTGAGTAAAGGGTGCACATTCATGTGATTACTAATGTTTTAGTGACTTCAATTCTGTTGTTCTCTTGTTGTTGTTTTTCCTCAGATTGGAAATTTTGAACTAACTCTTACAAAAAAGATCTTATCCTTTAAAATGCGCAACATACTGCAAAACTAATCAATAGTGGATTATTTTGAATAAAATTGTTTAAACTTATTTGATTGTAAAGAAAACATTGCTAAAGTGTTTAAAAAATAAACTATGACCAAAGCCATTAGTTGGAGAGTGTACATTTCAGCTAACATTCTTTACAAAGGTTTTTATAACTTTACCTGTGATATTTAACAATTTATTTTGAAACCCGGTAATTTATGTGAATTTATGTATGTTATGTGATAATTTTTTCCCAGGTTTCTATATTTCTATAACATAATCGAAGCTATTTTCTATATTATTATATCACGCCTAACCGAACAAAACTATTTAGTTTAACAGACACCTGTCTGTCTCATTATTAAGTTATTTTGGTTTCTCGTTTAAATGTTTTTCTTTGGAATTTGATCGCATACTTTGATTATGGGCATGATAATGCAATGTAGGCTTTGTGCGCGGCCTCTCTTGCTAATTGATTGTCTCACATTATAGTGAAATATTAGCATTAATTCATTCAGAGAGTTTATATTTATTGAAAATTTTGTTCACGCTTTATAATAGTATACAAAATTATAGAAGCTATTTGCAATGGGACACGAAATATCATCAACGGTGTTAATCATTCGTAATAAAACGCATAGACCAATATTTACGTATTATTAATCAACATAATCGTAATTATTAGAAAATGAATAAGAATAAGAGACTTTGTAAATCATGGGAATTCACCGTCACCATGTATATCATGGGAATTCAAAATGTGTGTTATAGAATTTCGTGAAAGTTCTAAAATGTATCACAGGAACTGACTTTATTTTGATCCTACAACCTGTATTTTAAATCCATTTTTTATGAAATAGCAAATTTTTCCCCTTTCAATTGCACAGATTCAGAATGACACTTTTACATTTATACACGTAATACATTTATACGGTTTTATACAACAACAGCAACAACAGCAGCATAATGATTTCTTTAATTTTCTGTCAATCTTTAAATTATTAGATATATTTTAATATCGAAGACATAATGACACATTAAAGATCTCTGGATTGCCAGTCCAATATGCTATCCACTACACCACAGCGGCCGTTGCTTTTCTTCGTGCTAATTGGCCTTATATATTTAAATTATTTTTAACTTCATTAAACTGGACCGGCAATCCAGAGACCCGTTATTCGAGTCCCGGCTTCCGATTTTTCGTGCAACTTTTCTAGGAATAATTTCCCGCTCATGACTTTCTTTCTTTCATTGCGACATACTTGTACATTATTTTTAAATGCTGGTGACCTTTTACTTGTAGCAAATCATACTAGTAATTATATCTCGTTTTTTCTTCTTTCATGACTTCTTTATTGTTGATTAAAATTGATAATGATCTTTAAAACTTTAGGGTATAAAGCTAATCTTATGAAATGTTTTCATAAAATTCAAAATATTTATCCATCTGAGTCATAAAAATGAAAGCTTGCAAAACTAATTACAAGTTATACCAGTATTTTCTAATGTGTAGAAGTTTTACTTACAAACGATAGACACTATTGCTATACTTGAAGAAAAAATGTTGATGCAATAATATAGAGCTATTATATACATGTACAAAGTAATAATTAAACGGCAAACACTACATACCTATATAATAAAATTGAAAAAATAAATCTTTCTGTAAAACTGTATTTTGATATTACAAGCTTGACAAAGGTGATGCTATCTGTAAATGAATAACTTTAATACGATTTACAAAAAGCGTATAAATCTTACGATATGTGAATATACTAGTAGGTTTTTTTAAATATACGTATTTGCTTAACCATGAAGTATATTAATGTAATATTAATGCTAATGTTACATTCTGTGGTTGACTAAATGACATTTATGATATAACATAAGTTATATGTAAGATATAAAATCACCAGCAGTATTGCGCATCAAGTTTGTAACCTCGATTGCCATTGGATAATTGTGGCGTTCATTCTATGTATATACATATTACAATTAGTTTGTTTCTTCATCAGAAATAAAAGACGAATTTATGTAGTATTGTAGGACAGGCAGTGAATGGGTAGAAATGGTCATCTTTTGTTAATTGTGTATGCCGCCATCCAGAAACGGCAATAATTAATTTGTTATAAAGACATATTCTATGACTTTGATTAAGTTAACGTACAATTGTTAATATTTAATAAAAACCTTATAATTGAGAAAGTATGCCATTTAGATAATTGTACGTAATTACAAATAGCTGCATTTATACCCTAGATAGAAGTATAAGAACTGTTGCGGTGATAGATTTTTCTTATGAAAGATATTCATGCTTTGGATGTGTGTTGGGGCTCGGGGTGGGTGTGGAAAACCACTTCACTGCAGATTTAAAAACCGATTTATGCTTAGACCTTAAGAAAATCATAATTCGTATAAGCGTAATATTTTTTTTTCCTTTTTGGTGCAGACAACTTACTATATGTTTCAGAAAATCCATTCGTCACCTTTATAACTGGTAAACCCCTATTAAATTTAAAAGGACATAAACCATTACTGCACTAAGGTCACGAATTATTGTTTTCAAGTTTTTGTTTAATTAAACCTTGCATGTTGGTTTTTTCAATATTTCAGCTTATATTTCAGACAAACACAATACCCAAGATAATTTAGCAGTATAGCAGTACTCTAAAAAAGAGGACATGTATGCACTTTAACGAAATTCAGAGATAAATGACCTATATAAAGTCTATCTTAAATCCACATTATATTGAAAGAAAAAGACTAACACATGTTTTTTTATATATAGATTGTACTATAAGACAGAAAGCAACACTAGACAATATTAATTTCATATCAAGTATATTGATTTTTGTCATAAGATGCTTCTTGTTAATGTAATAACTTTCAATACCAACCATAATATAGGTCTTCAATTGTATATTGTAATGTAATATAATATCGTAGATTATGTGTACATTAACAAAATTCAAGGAGATTGCTTTATTTATTGTATTCATTCAAAGTATCGCAAACTTTACATAGTATTGTTATAAATGTACAAAATAGTACAAAAGTTAAGATCATTGATTCTTTAAAATATTTTCACAAGGTGTGGATTTATATACTAGAAGACAATTATCACAGTAAACAACGTAAGCCACTATTCATTTTTAACCATTCGTAGTGATTTTTGTCATAAAATACTAATTAAAAATGTTATAACTTTATCATTGCTATATGATATCCTAAACATAGACTTCTGATTATGTGTACTTATACAAAAGTCAAGGACTTGCTGATAACAGTTACTTTGTTTCGTTTGTACTTAAAATCTTTTTCAACAACATTGAGTTTTATTTTTTATTTTTATCTTTATAACAGTTTTTCGTCATCTTGCGTAACCTGATTTGCGTCGAATTCCGGACAAAACGTTACTCGACGAAAAAGAATTCTATAAGACACGTCTTTTGTAAGCATCACTTTCCTGTCCTTAAAAAAACAAGAGTTTATCAAATGCATGTATTAACAAATATATTGATACTTTTTGGAACTAAAGATGTTAAAACTATGTACAGTATCATAAATACTTTACATTTCAATGATTTAAATATTATAAAATGTTTATAAGCTTAAGATCGTCGCATGCCTACAAGTTATAATGTGCATGAAGTGTGTATGTAATGTATATACAATTAGACTATAAACAACACAAAAACGATACTCCCTTCTAACATTCGTATTAATGAGTTTTGAACATGCTATACGTTTCAATAATCAAATGATAATATAAACAGAATATTCCATCGTTAGGGAATTGTTATTATATGTAAAGTACTGTGAAACCTAACACTGTGTTAATAATTATGAACGAACGTTTTCTGTTAAATGTTAAAGTTATATCAATTCTGTCAGTATAAAATACAAGTTTTACTAAGTGTGGATTTAGATGCCACATGATATAAAACAATATAAGGCAATACTGTCTGATCGATTTTATTATGCTACCTATAAATGATGGCAGACACATATCATTAGAATAAGTCACGTGTTCAATAAGTATCTGATATTTAAAGGTAGAAAATCATAAATTCTGAGGACATACAACATTTGTGAAGTTATTGCTTTCCAACAAGAAATAAACTATAATTTGAAAATGTATTGTGCCTGAAGACATCATATAAATACGACATTTACTCTACGTATTAATGAAAATGCGGAAATACAAAAAAAATTCGTTGGTTTTTTGTTTAAGAATTATTTGTAGACAAGTAAGTACTTGTTTTAGCTTTTTATGAATATAGTTGAATATAATAAATACTGTGCGTGATAAGCTTTTCTAATGAAATAATGTTAAATGATGCTCTGTATTTGACATTCATTGATTTGTTATTGATTGTAATATTTATAATGTATTATTTTTTTAAGATTTCATATTGATATTAAAGGGACTCCACTGACGTATTTTGACAATGTCGGGTCTGGAAATACATTTCTTTTCACGATTGTACACCATTAGATGTACATCTATACAAATAACATATGGGCAATATTTCAGATAATTCGCTTACTTCGTTTTTTTTCCAAAACATTTTTTATTACGGAACCTGACCTAAAATTGAAAAGCGTTCAAACCTTTTTAGCTACAATCAGGCCATGAATCGCACAGAATTATATTCATTTTTTTAATTTTTTTATTATTTTTTTTCAAATCATCCATTTTTACGGCTCCATCTGATAGGTGTGAGATTGCCAAATTTCATGTTTTACCTTGAGACCTCAGTGGATAGCCTTTAATGAATTTAAGACAATTACTATAACAAGTAGCAAAATGTCATTTAAATTATAAATGCAAAATAATGAGCAATTTTCTTCTATTATTTAATATCTGACTCTATTTCGAAGTCAAATACAATTTGCATTTACTGTCATCGATTAGTTTTTGTAAACCTGTGCATGATATGAATTTATACTACTATTAGGTAAGTCTTTTAGTATTCAAATGTTGCTGTTTCCTTGTTGCTTATTTACCCATAATTAAATATAATCTACTGTATCAGAAAGTGATAATTCTTTGCCAATAGTAAAGAGTCAAACCAATCTTCACGTTCGTGAAGTCTGATTAGGCTCCATGCTGCTTGTCACTCAATTTTTTGTATTTTCATAATGCTACCTCTTACACGTTAAATGGACTTTTCAAAATCCAAAACTTTGTAAATCAACTACACAAATTCAACAGGCTATGGACGCAGATATGCATTTTTTACTTAATATTACTTAATTTAATTAATCAAATATCAAAAAGATCAACAAGGTTTTGTATATAATTTTACATTCTCTTTATATTTATTGCGAAAATTGATTTTTGATATACGATACATTTGGATGAATGCCGCATATTTTAGTTATAACAGGTTATCAAAGTTGTATATACATTGTAAAGTAGTCTATTATATACTTAAGGACAATGAAAACGCACTCCCGAACTATTTGCATTTTGTTACATGAAAACAAAACACTAACGACTTCATTAGATATATATCATAACTTTAATACAAAAAGCAAACTTAACAACTGAAAATAATTCAAAATGTTTGAAAGCAAATGTTCACCAGTAAATCGAAGAACACAAGGTGAAAATCCCAAAATCACACTTTTTCATCACAGTAACGCAAATTTCACAAAGGCAAAAACCAAAATAAAAATCCAGAACAAAGTCACTCATACATGTCTATTCGTAATGTCACCGTCGGGATCTTTATAAACGACAATGTCCTCCATCAGAGTCTCTTACAGATGTACATCGTCGGGTGCGGAATCTGTGGAATCTGACGCCATTCGGCCTGTAGTGTACTGCGAAAACGCTGGTGAAGACCGATAGATACCAAAACGGTTGGTGCTCTTTTTGTAAGATAGGCCAGACTGAATCTATCCTAAATCTAACCAGCGGTTATTTCTTTGTAGAACCATTAAATTCAATTTGCTAGCAAGTCTTCAGCAGTGTTTGTAATTAAGCACCTTTTATAGAGGAAAAGTGTGTGCATTTTGTATATGCATATTCCATGTGAGCTTTTACGATTTCTAAAACTTACCATTGGCATAGTTTATTATTCATTTTCATAAAGATTTTAATTGCTCATTTGTGTTTAACATTTCTAAAAAGGTGTGAATTAAAAAAACAAGTTTAAAAAAATAAATAATTTCGTTTCATAAAGTAACAATATAATGGTTCAATCTATTTTTCTGTTGTGATCTTATCACAATTAGCCAAAAGTGTTACTTTTGATTTTTCGAGTACTGTCTTTATTATGCAATTACTTCATTAAAATGCTATCATTTTTATATCTTTGGTATCTAAATGATCGGAATGCATTCGGTTTTATGAAACTGTGAAAAAATATTTAAAAGAAATATATTTTCCTTGTTTAAATGCAATAATCTCGACCGTGCGTTTTCATTGTCCTTTAGTATAATTGTGTGTGTTTTATTAAAATCAATGCATTTTTACAACTTCTTCCTCGCTGATTATCCACTGCCATCAAAGCCATAAAAGGGCTTGTTAAGCTTATGACCTTACTTTTGGTGTAAACAAATCAAAACGAGTATTATTTACACATAAAGCAAAAGAGAAATGTACATTTGATGATCAAAGCAACTGAAGAAAGTAACCGAAATACAAAATAAAAATGTATGACGGAACCTTAAGTATTTATAAATGTATATTATTTTAGTAAATGGACAAAGATGCTATGATATCCATCTTGGTCGTATTCTATATTATAAATATATGATTAAAAATTTGATGAATATTCATACTCTACAAATGCATGTTGGGTATACTTTTTCAGATGAATATTCATGAGCAAAGTGCAACTTTTGACAGACAAATACATTTGAATTACATACTGTATACAATTAATCAATAATAGAACAATAGAAATACATTAAATTTGTTACTCGATATACAAATGAAACAAAACGCCCTGTTTTTGTTCATGATAGAACTATTTTCAATCCGTATTAACTGCGCAGTGATTATGAGGACTGATGACAGTGTCATAGTAAACGGAAAAAGAGTTTTATGTAAGGTGCTTACACAGAAAATGTGAAAGACACGAATGCATGAGTAAATAGTCAATGACGAAAAAAGAAGAATGTCATCATACTCCAAAACATTTCGACACATTCGACACACGAGCCTTTGTGGATTTAAAAAACGAATATTTTTTTATATTTTTTACATTTATTATCGTACTGTCAATGGACATATCGAAGTCATGACGGACGAGACGAACCATTTGCAAACTTTGTAAGAGCTAATGATTCAACCCGTTTGCTACTCTTGTGTTAATATTATATTACAACACTGTTATATATGCTGGCATACAACAAGAACCATGTCTTTTTACAAACGCTTACATTGAACAACTCATGTAAATAAGATTTCATGTGAATTCACATTTTATCAATACTTTTTATGTCGTTTCATTTCAATGACAAAAATTGTAACGATAGCGTTTGATGAATCATTTCTCTTGTTATTGCAGATTTCCGTGTGATAACTTCAATGAAAATGTCGCTGACGACATGGACGAGCTCTGTTGTATTGTGCATTCTACTCCCTATCGTTGTTTTTGCAATAGGTGATTTTCTAGTTTTAGATATTCAAATTTAAAACATTTATTTTCTATGAATTACTGTGTACCGGTATGCTGATTATTCAAATAATGGTTTTATGGTTTACTCATGGATCAGGTTTCTCATGTATTGGTTTGCATACATTTGACAAATAACACAATCTTGACTGCTTATTAGATATTACTTTATAAAATTCATGTTTGCCGTTCTTAAGAAAGTAAAAAATGTGTATTTTCAGGCAAAACGCTCTTTGTAAAATATAAATTCTATTTCTTAAAAGATTTCTTTTTTTGGTGTATTTCTATGGTGTTCCAAAAATTTACTCATTGGCCAATTACCTGAACATTCTTTTTCTATTGCTTTTTGGCTGTTAGTACGATATTTTGTATGGAAGTCAAATACTTCTTGGTTTACATTTTCATACGTTCATGAGAAATCATTTCATCTTTATCGCTAATATCTTCAGCTAAGAATCTAAATTGATCTTAAACCTTATGCCTGAGTAAACGTTATAAAATTCATGTTTATCGTATCTTAAGAAGTTAAAATTCATTCGTTTGTCAGGCATAAATCTTTTGTGCATTTTTGCGGTGAGAATGTATGTATATGCACACCAGGAATACAAAACGCCTGACATATTTCGTTAAATTATTTCAGAAGAAAAATTTTAACTTCAATATATCAGTATAGTACATTGCTTCATTCATTTACAGAAATACATGACAGCTTGGATAAAGTAGACAACCCAAGAAGTAGAACAGTTATAATTAAGTATGAAGGAACTCAGAACGAAGTGGAAGAGTTTGGAAAAGGACTAGGTTTAGAATTTCACAAAAAGGCATGCTAAATTGAATTAACAACTTCTTATATTTGTAATCTGCAATTATATGAATGTCTCGAATGAGTCTAATCTCCCCATAGTTAGATCGTTTTTCAATATTTTCAGAAATGAGACTACCTTAATTTATAGTGACTTTTCAAAAGCAAACATGAATTATTTATATACAATAAAAAGGAGTGATGCTCCTAAGCAACCCTCAACTTCAAATCTGATACATGTGTGATATAGTTTGAGTACCAAAAACAAACAAATCTCAATTATGAAAAATTAAATGTACGTTATTTACAGGAAACATTTTATTTCAATTTTATAGGCATTTGGAGAGTGGTACATTTTCAGAATTCCACATTCTAATATCAACTCTCTTGTCCCAATTGATGTTCCAGATCTTCATATAAGTCTGAGTAAAGCCAAACGAATTGACAGTAAGGTATGCCATCTTTTTCTTATTAGTTGTTCCAATATTCATTTTTTTCACTATTTGTTTTTTGCACATATACATATGTTATTACTTCTTGTTGGCAACTTCAAGAATCCCGAGACTTTTATAACTGAAAAAATCTACAGTGAAATGTAGGAATGAATTTTAGATGATAATTAAGACCATCAGATTCATCAATCAACAAATCGCAGACTGCTTTTTACTTTACAGTTTGTTCATAACTGAAAATGGAAAACACGACATCTTCTCGCGCCCCTATCTCAACCTTATGCGGTTTCAATAAATTATCCCAAAAGAAACAGAGAAGTACATGTATGAGAGAGGTTATATTAAATACGTGAAAGAATAGTTTTAAAGCTGTTACTAAGTACAAGTAGTGTGAAAAGTTCAATAACAATTATTGATATCACCAAATTGATACTAAAGGTAAAACACTTATTACTCATGAAAGATTTGGATGTGATTCTAATGCAGGTAAAATACATAGAACAAGAAAAGTACCGGAAACGTTCTAAACGTCAACTGACAATTAATGACAAGGAATGGCCAAACCAATGGAATATGGTAAGTAAATCAGCTACCTGATTTGTAATTTTTGCTGCGGCTAATTTATGATGTTTCGTGCACACCCTTCAGTTTTATTTCCTTTGTAATGCGTATAAAATTCTTTATCTTTAAGACTTTTTTTATCTCCAATTCATCGCCTTTTGCTACGTATACGTCGTCTACTAAATATGTTTCTGACATATTATTTCAAACGAATGTTACATTTTTCGTTTGTACTACAATGATCACATGCCTTGTTTCTTATAAATTTTATCTTTATCATGATATCTATAAAGTCAATAAATTTTACGTCATCAGAATTTACATGCATTTTTTATGAAAGCAACCAACACATAGACCAAATATGAACGTTCACAAAGCTTGGGAAATGGGTTATACCGGAAATGGAATAGTCGTTGCCATAAATGATGACGGGGTTGATGGTGACCACCCAGATTTGATTAATAACTACGTAAGTATTCAAAGTTTTAAAACGAAATGACAAGTATTAATACAAAGAAACAAATCAGTTGTAATAATAAAACAAATTTAACGACATAAACGATTGCTTAGCTTCCTCTTTCACGCATGAGCTGATAACACTTGTACAGGGCAATGAAAAAGAAAATTGACAACCAACATTATTTTATTTTTACATTTCATAAGTTTATTTTGAATTAAGAAATATATTTATTAAAAGATAAAATACAAATGAGAAAGAAACTGCAATTGAAACTCTTTTGATCAGTATTAACATCTTCATTCCAAATGTTATTAGATCAGCACTCGCGAAATAAAATCGAAAACATTTTTTTTCTAAATTTCAGAACTTTTCTTTAAGTTATGATTTCGTAAAGGAAGTTGATGATGCATCACACAAGGACGAAGGCGACGGGTATGTAAGATAATGTTTTGATAATTTGTGCATTATTCTGACACTTAAATATTAAAAATGGCCGGTATCAAAATATATTTAGCAATGTCCTTAAACGCATTCTGCGAGCAAAATAATGAGAGAGAAAACTTTCATTACGTATATTTTTCTTTAATAGTTATTGTTCATTTCAATTGTAAGCAGTTCAATTTTGAAATAAATGTATTATTAACAAAAAATTATCTTTTCATTTTATCCTTTTCATCTTGCACGTATATACATTTGTACAAATTATTTATATACCAACAACAGATTCCATTCTAATTATTTCATGCTACACTATTTATAGTAAAGGTTCAAAAGAATTTGCTGATGCTAAAAATGAACATTGGACTGTTTTATCTGTATCTCACTTGCTCCATGATGCAACATTTTTACTTCAGTCACGGCACCAACTGTGCGGGTCTCGTGGGCGCTGTAAAAAATACAAATTGTATAATTGGGACAGCATACGAGTGCACAATGATAGGTATTATAATCAAACATTTAATATAGTTTTGAAGAGCTTTGACGAGTTATATGACTAAACTGTAATGATATTTCGCAAGCAATATTTCAAAAAAGGCGGCCAATGCATACGATGTGTCAAAGCTCTTTTAACAGACTTGAATTACCTCCGAATTGTTTTACTTAATAAGGTATGACCATCCTAACGAGCACTATAAGAAACTGAAAAATTGACAATATAGGTCAGATAACACCTGTATGTAAAATTTAAACAAACTTTACCGTACGGAAATCGGGTACTTGCCGCTTTTCTGAATTTAATCTTTGATGTCAGAAGGACATTTATCAGAAATAAGGAACCTATAAATAATCTACAAGATCATCCTAATTAAAAACATGCTCACATTAATTCTTGTTAAGAAACAAAATTTAACATTCAGCAAACAATCCACATAAGCAAAACGATTGATATTTATAAATTTGAAGCAACCGTGTATTTTTGTCCAGTGAAAATCGACTTAAAGGACGCACAAAGGATAAATATTAATTTTAACACTTTTTTATTTTAATCGTTAAATTCTTTTTATGCATTAGTTCATTCACTTTTTGTATCTTTCTTTATGGATAAACGTGATTACATGTTCTTTTCAATGTTACTACTTTCTATTCTAGGCTTTCGGTCGCTTGGCACACCCTTCGATGATGACATTAGATCGATACCGTCTGTAGAAGCTATGTCACTGACACACAATTATGAATATATTGATATTTATAGTAACAGTTGGGGACCTGATGACGATGGCATTGCCATGGAGACTCTTGATCCAATTCTAGAGGACGCATTTGAGCTGACAATAAAAGAGGTAAATTAATAAGATTGAGCTGTTTTTAAGGTAGCAAATCATTTATGTATGTGCAGCTGTGCAGTGATGACTGCAATTGCTTTCATTTCATTCAACAGTTTGTGAAAAAATGACATAGTTTTAGAGAATAATCAAGTTGGTGAAGATCGTCTATTTGGTTTGAGTAACAAAAATCATGAAGAATGTAGTATTTTTCTCGGGCTCTAGCATAGCGTTAATCTATTTGGTAAAATAACGATAGGGATTTCGCACAAAACAATCAGTGTTTTAAGTAATTCTGATTAAACAGGTATTGAAAAATATATTTAAAGGCACTTGAATTCATTTATTCTCCGTACCACAGCATTTGCATCGCATATGCATTCAGAATTTCACAAATATCCCTACTTTCCACTACCCTGCAATCTCGTTTAACCGTTCGTTCGATTAATACATCACTTTCCTTCACATCATCGTCATCATTACTAACCTAATCCTCATCATCAACATAGTAATCATGCGGGGCTTGAATATATATAAGGAGTTACATTTACGGAGTATTTGTGTTACGTTTACCTATGTTTACATGGAATGCCAACCAGTTATCGTTTTCATTCTATGATAGTAACTGAGAAAAAATAATGGCAAATAATGTGTTTTGCGTACTTATGATAAATATGTTACTAACATAGCCTTGGGTATATAGGTTGTAAACGAATATTTTACATGTATCTTATACATGTGACATACTTATTTTGTAATTAAACATTATACTATACAATAACAATTTATAGGGACGCGGTGGTAAGGGTACAATTTATACATTTGCATCTGGAAATGGTGGACTAGCCGATAGTTGCAACGCCGACCCGTATTCCGGAAGCATGTATACGATTTCCGTCGCTGCAGTCAATGAGAATGGAGCTCGCCCGTGGTACAGTGAGCCTTGTACATCCATACTTGTGGCAGCTTTTAGCGGTGATGAGGGTTTACTCAACATTGTAAGTATAGTTATGATTACATTCTAAATGTGTACATTACCAAATATTCGAATTAAGTTGAAGATATTAGATATATATATTACTTTGAATCAAACATTGCCACGACAAGGAATGCCATAATGTTGCAGTCTGAAGTATGGCATCTGCAAACTTACCATTTTAGTATTATAATTATGACAGCACCACTTTAAAGTTCGTTTGTTATGTATGAACTTAATTATCGAGGGTCGAAATACGTAGTAAAATTAATCATTCAATTTGCATTGTTTGCAGTCAATAACACAATTTTCTCAAAATCAAACAAAAGAAATGTCTTATCATTTAGTGTAAACAAATTAAAATTAATGTCCCTTATAAAATATATATTTTCCTTCTTTCAGACAACAACAGGTCCCGACGCAACCTGTGTGGATAACTTTGATGGAACATCCGCAGCAACGCCACAGGTGTCCGGTATAATTGCTTTGACACTTGAAGCTAAGTATGTTCTGCATTTATCACATATGTAAAGTGAAACAAACAAATAAGATCTATATTACAATGTATATATAAAAACCATTTTACGCATGCATATGACACGGTTGCTTTCGAGTAATTACGGTACATTTCTTCGAGTAACAGCGGTACATTTGGAATAACCGCAATACATTTTGGTTTACTGCTTACGAAATAAATGAGGTACCTTTTGAATGTCCTATTGTAACAGTATGGAGACAGGTTGTCTCTGAGTATTTTGATATTGGGATCTCTTCAACAGGCAAGGAATTTCCTACTAGCTTGGTACATAAAATTCAGCCATTTTTGAATTTGGTTACTATGAGGTGCATACTGTCATCCAAATAACGCTGGTGTGTAGATTTTTTAGCAAATAAAATCATTACTTCCCTTGGAGACGGGGATAAGATCCTTACAGCCATTATCCCTTTAATTACTGATTCTGCCTTTAAAGTCCTTATCTATCATTTCACATAATACGTCTCCCACCCCTTCGTTTTGTCATCTTCCAGCTTTGCTTCTGGGTTTTCTCGGTTTCCCGGTGTTTTGTGAAGGTGGTGCGTTATGTTAACGTCGTCTTTGTCTTGATGAATGACACATGAATAATTTTACGTTGATTGAATATTTATACTGTATAAGACATCTTAAATTTTTTTTATAAGTTTGATTATTTGAAAATGTTTTAATCATCAGTTTGCGTGCAGCATTTTCGTCTTTGTTTCCTTTTTCCAGCATAACACATTTGTGGTGGCTTGGTTGAGTGATTAACGAGTGGAGCTAGTAATCTTAAGATTGCTGGCCACGTGGGTTGTTTCTGTGAAAAAGAAACTTTACACTCATTGCTCGAGTGTTTCAAATAGCTGCCAACACAATTAAACTAAAATAAGTTCGTATAAACTTACAGACGGCAAAGAAATTTTCTTTACGTCTTCAAGGTTGCTCAATAACCATGTAGATGCGCGTGAAATTCTAATGTTATATTTAATATATTTTTCGTCAAGCCCTGATCTGACCTGGAGGGATGTGCAACATATGCTGGTAGAACTTTCGAACAATTCAGCACTAGACCAACAAGAAAAAGCTTATATGTATTATACAAATGGAGCCGGGAAGAAAGGTGATTAAGTATAATTTTTTTGTTTTATTAAAACGGAATAATCGGAAACAGAAACAATTGATAATGGGAACAATTTACAAATTGAATCGTTATTAACATAGCAAAATTGAAAAACTATTTCACTGATAAATGACACGCACACAGACAGAAGTGCGAGTATTAATCAAACATTATCATATCGAATTTAGGTTTGCTACATTCAAAAGTTTTTGTCTCCTTTTATTTCATGCGATTAAATGAAAAAGGAAATATTTAAGTAGAAAAAAGTTAGTGATACAGAACTTGTCAAATTTTAATTGTGAATAAATATTAACCTGTACACCTTAATTACTCCTTAATATTGAGAAATTTGTGATTTTAGAAGGAACTAAGATTGTTATTGTGCAAATAACATGTTTAAAACACGATTTGATAATTGATATCTTTATGGTTTCACAACAGTTACGTCTTTTACCAAAGATTACACAAGTAAGTCAGCTCTTCTGAAGTTACTGATATCTTACTTATGTTTTTTACTTTTTAATTTCCTGGTAATCGTATTTTGAACATCATCGTTTTTGCATTTTGTCGATTCTAACTTCAACATTTTCAGTTAGCCTTTACTTTGGGTTTGGCTTAATTGATGCAAAAGCAATGGTTGAAAATGCACCAAATTGGCCGCCTTCACCACCTAGAATATCCTGTAGCACAGGGAATGTCTTCATTGATTGGTAAAAATGTTATTTCTATATCTGCTAATCACCCTCCTGTACCCTCATACTTCCGATCTCTCAGCAAGTAAACACATCAAAGTTGTTATAACTTCTACGGATGCATTGTAGACGCTTCCAGTACCAAATCCTAGCCCGAATCCAGCTTCGGAATATGAATCTAAAGTTCTTAACATTAACTTCACGAAAGAAATAGTTTTTGCAAGTTTATTCTGTAAAAGGAAAAACAACACTTAAATATACGGATGTTCGCTGCTGTCAGGTTAGCTTATGTACAGTCATGTACACAATATTATGTAATGTAAGTATACAACAAAACTTGGCGAGATGTGACATGATATGATATTATCAAGAGCCCCGTGTGTTTAATTTTCAGATTTTTAGCTTTATTTTTCACACGTAATAAGATAAATAGTCATCGTTTGCAACACTTGATTTACCATTAGGATGCAATCTTATCAATTCAGCTTCGTTTTTTTAATTTCCAGAGTCCAAAAAAATAAACGTGAAATATAAATACTATACCATTCCATTTTCAGAATAGAAAAGTATATCTAAAGTATATCATACTCTACCTATAGCCTTCTTTACATTTTTGAGAGTTCAAAATCCGAATATTGCACACAGCTGAAAAAACCTATAACATTCTCGGCTACCGCCGCCTTCAATTGAGCTCTGACAACTTTGCACTCGTTCAACAGAATTCAGTATTCAGTATCAATATATAATATCTCATTTGTCCGGAGTGTTTCTTAACTTATCGTTCTTTTGTTAATATTTCCAGGTATGAGACAAATGTAAAGGAATTCGATGAGGCATCCATAATCTCAAACTGTTACATAAAATATCTTGAACATCTTGAGGTGTTTATTAAGTATAACACCTCATATCGAGGCGATGTGGAATTTTACTTAATATCTCCAATGGGAACTGAAAGTTTGCTTCTTCCCAGACGTGTGTACGATAACGTAACGGAGTATACAACATCAATATTCATGTCTGTTCATAACTGGGGTGAAGATCCGAATGGGGAATGGGCCCTAACAATTTATCCTGTCTATGAGGGCATGGGTAAATATTTTCATTCTTATCTTAATTTTGTAGACCTATCATGAATATTTCAAAAATAGTTTAGTCCTTTATCTTAATTTAAAGATGTATGTAAAAAAAGAGAATACCATGCTAGTGTCTGATAATACAAAATTTATCAGGCAATGTAAACAAAACCAAATGCGAAGCTCTGCCAGTTTTAATATGCGCTTTTTTCTTTAAATTTAAAAAAAAAACCAACAAAACCTGTTTAAGCCGTGCGCAAAGGATCATATATTTAAGAAATATTCACCAATGTTTTTATTTAAATGTAAGAGAGAGTTTAAAATCCAAATAAGTGTGTCAGTTTAATATTTTTAAACTAGTAGAGGTAAATTATTCCATTCTCTTCCTTTTATTTCAAAATGTATTGATAGGGTGTCTGATAAAGCTGAGGGTGATTGCTACAGCTAAATTTGTCAGACATGCACTTTATCAACAGAAAATCAGTGTAATAAAAAATCCAACTGTTATGTAAATTGTTTTGTTTAAAGATGTTTCTTAGAAATGATTACGATATCAAGTTGACTATAACTTTGATTTAATTTCTGTGCTATAATTTTGGCTGAATAAACGCCTGTAATATATTCTGTCTTATATTGCGATCGGCAGCTCATAGATCCAGTTTATAGGATAAAAAACACTTTAGCAGTTGACAGAAAGAAACATGAAGACATTTATTCTGTTAAGTCTTTAGTTTTGATATCTTAACGTATGGAACGAAAAGAAAAACAGTAACTAAGAAGATGCTCATCTGATCCAAAGATGCAAATGAGGCTGCATATCGATGAAAACATCTGAATGGAAATCCCTTTTTTATATAAATATTTTATCCGCATCCATTATTTGTCACGAATAACAGCATACTTTCTTCTTTTATACTGTTTTGTGTCACAATTATTTTCTTTTCTTTTTTTCAAATATTTAATATATTTAAAGGTCCATTATGCCCAAGGAGAAATGCTTTTGTTTTTATTTCTTAAAAGCTTTTTATTTTTGGTGTCCGGTATAAGTATTTCATTCATTATTTGCCAATAACCTCAATCATCTTTTGCTTCTGTTGCCATTTCGTAATAAGCACGGCTGTAGTGATTATATACTTTTAATGGAAGTCAAATATACTACTTTGTTTACATTTTGATATTTTTATGAACAATTCTTGTATATTCAACTTTTCTAGGTGTGATAAGATGTTCTATGACTTTATTGTTATAAATCCATGATTGCCTTTTCAAATAATGGTAGATACTATTGGTTTATGATCATAATGTGGCCTTTATTACGCATATCACATTGCATAGTTGTTAGTTTGTTTACTTACAGACTTGCACCTAGTCGAGTGGGCTATTGGTCTATATGGTACTGCTACAAACCCCGCAGATGGAATTCCTTCAGGTATTGCATAAACATAAACATAATACTTAATGTATATAAAAATGCTCACCAAAACGTTTCTGAGGAATATGTGAAAATGATTCCTACAAATCAATAAGAGTAATTCCTCGGCAGCATTAATCACAACAAAATTACATGAAAATAGAAGAAGGGTTTGATAGAGTCTATGCATGGAGGAAAATAATAGTGCAACGCCCGAGAGTACTAAATGAGACAGTATGGTTTTCATTGTGTCTTAATGATGTCAGAACCTCCTTGTAGCGTTGTCCCTGGCGGGAAGAACAAGGAAAAAGTTTAAAATGTTTTTGATCACTTGTTTGTTAGCACATAATTAAAAGTAAAAA